TTTTTTTTTTTTTTTTTTTTTTTTTTTTTTTTTTTTTTTGTGAGTGCACCACTCTGGAGTGAGTATTACACTAGAACAATAAATACAAAACTGGAATGACAAAAGATATACAATAAGTGACAACGCGCATACAGTATCAACCATAGTTAGCTAATAATGGAATTCGGTTAGACACATAACCGCTTTTTCTTAAAAATGTCCTTAATGAAGAAATTAAAGTAGGCACACAGTTCTTTGGACACTAGGATATGGGCTGGACAAGGCCAACCATACCCCAAAGACAGGACTTCCAGCATTAGCCTGAAGCGTTCGATTTCGTAAATATGGCATTCATATAATATGTGCTGTACAGTTTCAGCTTTACCACTTGCGCAGGAGCAGAAGGTACTGCTGGCCAAATTACGTGCCGCTAGATAGCAATTGAAATTTCCATGACCAGTTAGTATTTGAGAAAGAGAATACGAAAAGTTATTAATTGGATTCCTGAGAAAATCATAAATTGTTGGGTAGAACATCTTGGTGACATTCCCTTTAGTCGAAGAGGTCCATGACTGGTTCCATTCTAAAATAAGATGGTCATAAATAATCCTTGTCAGAGTGTTCCTAGAATAAGGCTGTATAGTCAGAGGTAGGTTTTCATCTTTAGAAGCATCCTTTGCTGCAGTATCTGCCATCTCATTGCCCACCACACCTGCATGACCTGGGACATAGAAGAATTTGAAACATTTCGAGCTTAGGCTTACATTTTCTTGGATATTTCTAATCATACTATTTCGAAGATTAGTACTCGTAAGTGAGGTCAGTGCAGCTTTAGAATCACTTAAAATTGAGATAAACTTGAATCGTTCAGGAAGTGTCAAACTCCACTGAACAGCCTGATGAATTGCTGCTAATTCGGCTTGATAAATGGTGGTAGCCTGATTGTAACGCTGCCTAAGAATTTGCCGAGGGTTCTCATGCAGATGGGTATATACACATACACTTGAGCCAACACCAAGCTCGGACTTAGAACCGTCTGTGAAGATGTAAACGTCACTTGGAATAGCAGGCCCAGTAGTAGGGATAGGATCAAGAGACACATCAGGCAGGTGGAAATCGGTAGGGTGTAAAGAGCCGTTGAGAACAGCCCACTCGCGTGGGAATAAATGGATACCAGTCCTCCAAAGGAGATGCTCGTGGTGAGTGCTAATGCAATCAGTCCTCACATAGTACTGGAGTACCTTAGCCTGCAGGGCCAGGGGCCATGGAAGAACACCTGCCAGAACTGTCAGTGCATCTGTAGATACAGACCTACAGCAGCGAACTTTTTTCAACAGAAAAAGACGTTGCACCCTGAGAAGTTTAGAAGCATAGGAGGTCTTGTAGGAGACATGAGCCCAACAACAAGCTGCATAGAACAAAAGTGGCTGGATGGCTCCATTGATCAAAGTTGAGACAGCTGCAGTAGTCAAGCCCCAGGTACACCTTGCACATCTCAAGAGCTGGTTACCAAATTGTTTGACCCGAGCCAAAATGTGCTCTAGATGGTTTTTATAAGTTAACTTAGTGTCAAGATAGACACCCAAGTACTTGTGGGTGTTGACCCAATTAATACTCACTTTATTGAGTTCGAGAGATGGAAACAAATACTTGTGTTTGGTGGTGAAGAGCATTCCTACAGTTTTGCTTGTACTGAATAAAAGTTTGTTTTCTTGTGCCCAGTCTTGCACAGTCTCGAGTGCTATACTTAGCTTCTCCTGCACAACTTGAAGATCCGTATGCTGATAGGCTATCACAATATCATCTGCAAATGCTTGTATGAAAACATTTATACTATTATTGCACAAAAGAGAGTTGACAATAAGATTCCAAAGAAACGGAGATAGAACACCACCCTGCGGGCAGGATTTGGTGAGATGTTTTTCACAAGAATATTATTATATATATATTACTATATCTATATTAATACCCAAAAACGTCTCCTTATACACGCGGTACAAATGGAGTGAAGCGTAGTTATCTCCTCAAACCACTAGATGGCGGGCTGAAGCTTGTCGCCAGTTTTCAGCAGAAGTTTCCACTATTGTCATAATAAACTATTTGCTCTGACTCAGCCACCTCCCTGTGGTGAGTTCTAGGTTGCCATTCGTTTGAAAATAACGAAGGGCAAGCGAAGAGTTTATTTTATTATTGTAAGAAGGGATGAAAATAAGCCAATACGCGTAGGAATAACAGAAGTAAGAAGCAGTTATTTATTGTGACAACGTCACAATGTCTTGCTCCTTTACATCGTAATTTTTTTCTTAAGAGTAGAATTAAATTGAATGCCGGTCATCTATCTAAATAAATGGCCGGCATTCAGTGGTAAATATTTGAATTAAAATAACCTAATTTCAGCATTTAGCCTACAGCATTTAATTAGTGATAGTGCATAGCAAGTCAATCACGGACATTCGAAATGCCAAAATGACAGCTGTCAACAGCTGTCTGAAGTGTTTGAGAGCGGCCATGTCCAGATCCGTACGATCCATAGTGTCAAAAAATTGGAATCCAAGCTTTTTGCGCGGCTTGCTGGGCTGCGGTTAATGACCCTGCAATGTATTGTAAAAATGCGAGAATAATTGCTTTTATGTGATCCCATAAAAACCTGGTGAAACCAGATTGAAAAAGTAAAGCTCAGCAAAAACTTCTAAGTAAAAGAAACCTTTGAAAGTTGTGACATAAGAATAGTGGAACCAGATTTGACAATAAGATTCAACATGTTAATACAGCGTACCGCTACAACACCCAGACTACAACTACAGGAAATTTTGAATGAAGAAATGTCACCGTAATAATAAATCGGAAAAATAAACATAGGCATAGAAAAAGACTTCGAGGTCTACTTAGTGCCTTAAAATCGTTGCACGTACTGTACATTAATTTGGTTGAACGTTAGAACATCTTAAGCAGTATCAGTGAAAGAAGTTTGGGGCAAAGATTTAAGAGTTAGTAAGAGGAGATGAAATCAAGGAAAAGACGGGCTGTCCAGGTTTTCTGGTAGTTAAACACGTCCTCGTAAATATCGCGTTTATAGAAAAATTATTATGATTTGTGGCGGAAGTTTTCAATGCGAAAACGTGTACGTCGGACATTCAGCGCTGCCGTCCTGTAAGTCTAGAAGTTTGGAACGTCTAGCATGGTTCCACTGACGTTCCAAACGCCATTGTCAAACTTCTAGACTTACAGGACGGCAGCGCTGAACGTCCGACGTACACGTTTTTGCGTTGAGAACGTCCGCCGCAACCTCGCTATTGAAAAATCAGAGAAAATCTGGATGGATTATAATCCAAATATTTTAGAGGTGTATAATAAAAAGAAAAGCGGAATCTTCCATGGAGGTGAATCGATACTGAACCATTTTTAGTGAAGAAAACTATCAATGGTGTGGTCGATGGTAATAAAGTGTATGATCATTCAGCATACTTCCGAATGACAGAGGTCAAAAGTACATTTTTCTATTTAAATTAATGTTGCTTGCTTGGGTAATCATGTGGTTGACGTAACGTATACTTTATTTGTTTTCAATCCAATCACTAACTTTTTGTGAACAAATTAATAAAATGTTACAGCACATAATTTGAAATAAAATACGCAAACTTTTAAAAATATATATATATATATATAAATAATTATTAAGTTTTTGTAATACACAAACACTTTTAGTAATTAAACACGCATTTCATATCGTAAAGACGCCCCCTCGTAGTAGAAAAACGAATTATAACTGAAGTGCAT